CCCGGTATTTTTCATGTATAAATTTCTATGTAGTAATTAGTAAATCACGCCCAATAGAAATATTATCTTTATTATAGTCATTTAGCATTACCTAAAGGACACCACGAGGAGGCGACTATCACTGTTCTCCAAAAATTATTTTTTATATTATGGGATTAATAAGTTGTTTTAAATATTTTTTAGGTTAATTTTTACAATAAATAGTAATAAAAAAAAAAATGAATACTAAAATATCAAGTAAATTATATAATATAGAGTTAATAGTATAATAAAATTATAAGTTATATATCAGCATAATAATGAGACATCATTTTTACATATTCAGCTCTCTTAATAGTGTTTTCTTTGTATTGTTGAACGATTTTTTGCATTTTTTTAAATTTTTTTTTTAATTTGGTGTTCTGAAATTTATATTAAGGTTTATTTATACTATTTATTTTTATATACATTTCAGATTGCAACTCTAATATTTTATCCATAAAATTATAAATATGAGGATGAGGAGTATAAACGCTTTTATTAAAATTACTTTTGAAAGATTCACAGGCATTAGTTGTCCGTGTTAATGTTGCGGAAGCTGATGCCCAAATATTCGGAGGAAAGTCAGCAAATAAAATATACGTGTTTAAAATATAGCAAGAAAATTGTCCCAAGTCTATCATCTTCAGGCATCACAGGCATTAATTCATAATTAAAATAATCGTAAATATTTTCTGGCTCTAAAAATACCATTCCAAACACATGTAATAACCATTCTTTAATAATAGATCTGGTTGATTTAAACCAACTTTTTGAATTCGTCTCCACCAGACTTGTGTTAAGTGAAATCGACATCCTACAATTATAACTTCAGGCCAAACGTTAAGGCAAGTAGAATGAATAGCTTTTTCGAAGTCAATAACCATAGATTTGGGTTTCAACATTTATCCGTTTTCAGTACATTTCTCTTTTAAAGTTTGAAAAAAATTGATAAATGTGTTAGTAGATTTATTTTTTAATAAACCAAATATCAGTGGTATATAGTGCCTGTTAAAATATCCATGTACACTAAATAGTTGAAGGAAGTGCTTAGGACAATACTGAAAAGTTCCATCAACATATTATAACATTTCTGCCTTACATAATACTTCTAAATTTGATCTACAACATATAATTACGAGTTTATTATTTAAATTATTATAGATAAGCATATTCTCCCCTTTCCAGCTTTTATATTGCATTGAGTTTAAGGCTTCCTGAACAGATTGAGTTGTATTTGGTAATAGAGGTAGTAAATTTCTTCTCACATTATACACATTTCTTTTAGTATATTTAACATCACTAACCTTGATTAAAGTCGTATCTTGAACGGTTGATTCTATGGAGTATTTTTGCTGGTCTTTCACAGATATCTTCAGTTGCTTTCCACTTTGCACTAGCAGACACAACTTGTTGTAATTTTTGAAAATCAATTTGATGATTATGATTTACATTTTTTTCCGTAATATTTTTATTTTCTGTCATTGTTTACTAAAATTCTTTACAGGTTTTCACAGTACATTACCACTTTGTTTCACCCGAAGACAATTCGCGTTTTTATTTTGAAAATTTATAATTTTTATATATTATAATTTCGTTTTCTTTTTGGCTAAATGCAGTTTGTATGTCCATGTTGTCGTGTGGTGCGAAAAAACGTACCTAAGTATTACTTATTACTTATTAGTATACGTATTAGTATTATACGTAGTCATTTCGATATCGCTAATATCATATATTATAATGATTAACGATTACATTTGGTTTTTACACCAATAAATGTACAAAAGTGTTTAAAGCGGATGAATTCACGGTCACTTAGATTAGATTAGATAGTATGGGCGCATTTTACTACATAAAAATCTATACCTGCAAAATACCAGGCGTAATTTCAAGGCCGCCCGCAGAAATTTTTCTCAGGGGAGGCCAGCGAAAAATAATGCACTTACCATAAATTCTGTTTTTTAAATCACATCGGAAAAAAAAATTATTTATTTATTTTAATATTGCAAGTGTCACCTTATCAGTTAACAGTCCCTTATTGCCTCCAAGACGCTATTTAAAATCCAAATAAATGCAATAAAAATTAGGTAATATCTTAATTAGCGGGGGGGGGGCGTGGCCCTCCCCCCTGCGGGCGGCCTTGCGCAATTTACTATACCCATTTTACAAGTCAATAAATGCCGGGCACAATTTACTATACTATATTTACTACCTGCTCACCATGGACGCAATTTACAATCGCCTGTAACCACTAAAGGTTGTATATTATACTGTATTATATTATATAGTTGGTCTGCAGAAAATCAGTTATGAATATAATTTTCATTTGTTTTTTAAATGAAAGTAAACAGACTGAATCCATTAGAAATACGTTTGTCTTTAACAACTGCTCTATTATGCAAAAGTCTACATCAGAACACTATGTTTATAATGTTCAAAGGGGCAAAGTAACCAAAAATACAAGTATCCGACGTAAGGTTATAATTAAGGTAAATGATTTATAATAAAAGCAAATATTATAATATTAATCGTATAAAAGGAGTAACGCTTACCGCATTTATATTTCAGGATATTACCGGTATAAGAGAGTCTGGGTCACAACTCACAATGTCCGCTATTGCACCGGAAATGTTTATATTTGGTAATGAACGTTCAACATTTTTTAGTAATTTTAATGGCTTATATTTCTAATCCCCAAAATGGAAAGGTAGGCATCACTGTTGTCACCACCACCTAAAGAAGAGAAAAAACAACAGCAACAATCTAAGCCTAGCGATACAATGACCCAACTCAAAGAGTTTAAAAAAGTGTTCACTGTGTCTTTATGCCAGGGACGATAAGTTATACAATTTACAATATCTGTTTACCAGAATTTTAATTTTAAAAATTATAATAATTTTTACGCAATGAACTCCAACTGTAAGTTTAAATTGGTTACTGTTCGTAATTTTAATACCGTTATTTATCTGTAGATTTAATTTATATTATAATTTCTTGTATACACATAACACACACACACATATATTATATATATATATATATCAATACTATTTTGTTTTTGTTTTTTTTAATATTAATACATTTTTCTGTAGTTCTGTAGAACATAATATAGTAAATAGTAATGTAAAATGCATAAGTGAATTATTGAGGACATCACTTGGCACTCGACAACGATATCAATTATTATGTTACGTATATTATATAATATATCCTAAGTATTAACTGTTGTTCTAATAATAATACTATTAATTTTACAAACCAATTGTAATTTGTAGGTAAATACCATAAATATTTTCTTAAAATAACTTAAAAATACAATTTTATCATTCGATTCTTTGAATTTCCTAATTTAATATTATTTCTTGTAATTATAATTTATTAGCTTATTTTATAATATAAAATAAATGTTGATATTTAGCTAATAACAATATGAAATAATATAGAGTTGTATAGTCTCGTAACAACTTAATAACGTAAGTAACTATAACCAAATATTAAAAATATTATATTTTATTGTATTTATAGTGAAAATTCCTAGCCATGAATTACTATTTTTGAAACCGTAACAGATAAGTTTAAAATGGAAACTTTTTAAAATGTATGTGAAGGTAAATATCATGTCATTTTCGAGTGCATAATTATTAATCTAATCTTTATCTAAATTAAAAAGACGTAAAGTATCAACTAAAATAGACTATAAAAATCATTACCAATTATTTTTTTGTAGATAAAAAGGAAGAAATAAAGACAACTGTGTATAATAATGTTAAATGACATCAAAGTTTATTTCAGTCAAGATACTTAAATTTAATTGAAAGTGTTGATAACTTATTTGAAACTAGAAATAAAAAAAAAGATATATTTAAATTATTCCTGATGCATTTAGTTTATCATTTGTTGATCAACTTAACACAGAAATCAGACTATTATTTACATAAATAGATGACATACCAAGAGGAATTGATAATCCTACAATAACTACTTCAAACTTAGAAACCAAAGCTTTTTTTTTGATGAATAAAAGTTTCGCGAAAATAATTGAAAAAAATACACGCTTCATTATAAAATATTCATTGCTTCACTGAGACCTAAAATTTTTTAAACTTTTGAGTTAAATAAAAAAATTAGTTTCAAACAAAACTATACAAAAAAATCGTTTTCAAATAAAGCTATTTAAGGTATATTAAAACGTGTAATGAAAATAAGCTGTTCTCGTATAACCCAACGTCATAAGCAGATCCATCCAGAGATGACGGAAAAATAAAAACGGAAAAAGCGTGAAAAAAAAAAAAAAAAGTCATCAGATAACCTAGCCAAACACTCCCCTCCACCGCTTCAAATTTCTTTTACCGAAAGTGTAAGTTTTACTATAAAATCGAAAAACTAAAACAAAAAAAAAAAATTATCAACTAATATTTAATTTTTTTTCCAAAACAAAACACAGCTTCCGGGGTGGGGGCGCCCCTTCCCCCCACTGAATCCTCGACAGTCGACGTTCGTACCACGATAATAAATGGACGAAACAACGGTATTGTCTGTCGTCACCGAGTTCGAAATATCAAAACATTCCCAACCGGCGGCGGCCGGTAGTTAATCGTCACGTTTCCCATCGGGTTGCGTTTTAAAAAAGTGATCGACTGCCTGTAATTGTACAACGACTTTTTTTTTTATTAAACTTGTCCGTATCGTACGCGTTTTAACAGCGTTACCGACGTACCCGCCTGCACTTGACACCCTACCCCGGGTATCCCCTCGCCCGCCCACGCATTATCGCCGAAATAGTCGTGAGAGAGAACAGGTTTTGGGGGTGGAAAGCGATAAACCGCGCAATCGGTCTGCAGCGATCGCTCCCCACTCGTCGTCACTCGAACACCCGACGATCGTCGAGTCTGCTCGGTGTACCGTACTATTCGCACCGCGTGCTCGGTACGCGTTCACCGTCGGCGGGACCTGAGAGTCGAGACGACGAGTGACGAGACGACCGAGGTGGCGACCACGCGACGAACCTACGAGATGATCGTCGTCGCGCCGAACCTGCGACTTTTTAACGCCGCGCTGCGGTACGTGTGGGACGCGGTCCGCCGGGCTTTCGCGGCCGCGGTCGCGGCGTTAACGGTCGCGACCGGAACTCCGGCCGCCGCCGCCACCGTCGCCGTGCCGCTAAGCGTAAACTATCACTTCACGCGGCAGTGCAACTACAGCTGCGGCTTTTGCTTTCACACGGCCAAGACGTCGTTCGTGCTGCCGCTGGACGAGGCGAAGCGCGGGCTGACCATGCTGGCGGAAGCCGGAATGAAAAAGCTCAACTTTTCGGGCGGCGAGCCGTTCGTCCGGGACGGCGGCCGGTTCATGGGCGAGCTCATCCGGTTCTGCAAGACGGAACTCCGGTGGGCGGGCATCAGCGTGTCGATCGTGTCCAACGGCAGCCTGATCCGGGAGGAGTGGATGGTCCGGTACGGCGAGCACGTGGACATGCTGGCCGTGTCGTGCGACTCGTTCGACGCCGACACGAACCGGACGATCGGCCGGCGGCAGGGCGGCCGGACGGATCACGTGGCGAAGCTGTACGAGGTGCGCGAGTGGTGCGGCCGGCACAAGATCGCGTTCAAGGTCAACACGGTGGTCAACGCGTACAACGTGGACGAGTCGTTCGCCGAGCACATTGGCCGGCTGCGGCCGGTCCGGTGGAAGGTGTTCCAGTGCCTGTTGCTGGAGGGCGAGAACGCGGGCGAGGGCGCGTTGCGCGACGCCGCCCGGTTCTACGTCACCGACGAGCAGTTCCGGGGGTTCTTGCGCCGGCACGACCACGTCCCGTCGCTGGTGCCGGAGAACAACGACGCGATGCGGGACAGCTACCTGATCCTGGACGAGTACATGCGGTTCCTCAACTGCCGCAACGGCAGGAAGGAACCCTCGGCGTCCCTCCTGGACGTCGGCGTCCAGCACGCGCTCCTCGGTTCCGGTTTCGACGAAAAGGCTTTCCTGGACCGGGGCGGCGTTTACGTGTGGAGCAAACGGCAGCTGCCCGCAGCCGAGCTCGAGTGGTGACGCCGGCCAAATAATATTATGACGTGTTCTCTCCCAAAGTCGTAACGTCTTCTCTCGCCTCTGCACCTCTTTTGGCCGCGATATTTTCGTTTTTAATGCAATTATACATAATATTATATTATTGTTATGGCACGCGTGCCGGCTGCACGTCCTACGTTTGATTTTAAATAATTAATAGTGTGGTGTCATTTTTCGTGTCACGAATAACTCTTTTAACGGGTGGACATGTCGGTGTAGTCTCGTTCGTCAATATTCGAGTGGCTTATACAACGACTGAATAATAAAATTTAGGACAAAGTCGCGTTTCAAAAAAAAAAAAAAAAAAAAAAAAATTAGCTCTGCGTTTATTCAAATAACAAATCTAATATTGCTTCTCGCCTCTGACGTGCTGGCCGGTGTTTAAATCAAAAGGTAGATGATATAGGTACTCGTTGCCCGTTGGACATTTATTATCGCGTAAACGGATATGGCATATAATATATGTCGTGCACTCTCGCCCGAAATACGATTGCGTGTCCAAAATCCCGAGACGGATTTAAATGTGTAGTGGTTTTTGAGCGGAGTCTTTGATGGGGCTTCAAATAAACGGCGCAATACGTTTGCTAGCCGTGTCATAATATAATATTTTTTATTGTTTACCGTTAATTCCGCGGGGAGCGGATAAGCCAACTCGGCCCCGTAAATACGGCACTGCAGCAGCCAAAATCTATTTCCTCGCAATAAATCGAAAACAATATGCTTCACGCTTTTATTACGCGGACGAATTAAATGGATAATCTATGTGCAAATGTATATCATTTAATGCTTATAATATTGCATCCAATCATCCCGATTGAGGTGTTTGGTAAAAATGTAGTGTACAATTTATCATGAAATATTCATTTAAAATCCTATAGATTTACTATTTAGTATTTACATTCAATCTACTACTTATTGTTTATGAATAATTATATGCTATACTTTTATAATAAATACATTTCTGTGTAGCATTTTACAAATTGTATTCTTTATTTCATCATGTACGAATGAAATATAATATATAATTTTACCGTGTATGTGTATACATATGTATATTATTTTTTACAATACTTCCATGTTTCTCTCTAGTCGAATGATATTGCATATAATAATATAGTTAAGCATTAAAGTCCATTGATGTTACTCCAACATCAAAGGGGTGAGTTCCGTATGCAAAGTATATGTTATATTATTAATTATGTTACGTACCTACCCAAGTGTGTTGTCTCCGTTTTACAAACGTATAATACAGCAAATTTGTACTTATCGTTTCAAATTTTATGTAGTAAATAGTAAGCTAAAAGCTTTAATCAAGTTTTGTGACGATTATTAACACAACCATTTATTATGATTTATGATAAATTGTATAACTGTGAGTCTACGAATGCAATTTAAAAGTAAAACCTAAGACCCACTGCCTACTGGAATACGTGACTGACCACCCTCGTGGATATACGTAAGGTAGCAATGTTGGTAGGTATGATAAATGCTTGCAGTTTGCAGTTGAGATTACGTTTATGCGTTATAACTTATAAACAAATTCGCGTCCGGTAATACTCCAAGGTAAAATTCACCTAAAACATTGTCATGGTATACCTAACTTATTAGTTGATAATATTAAACGAGTACTTTCGACTTTCGAGTTATGTATCAATATATATATATTTTTTATTGAGTGAAAACGTGTTTTCACACGTGAACACTGTGATTATTCTTATTTTTTTTCAGCATTGTGCAGAGGTGCTGCTGCAGACGACTATAATAGTGAATACATTTTATTCATTATTCTTAGTTATCGGTTATGGACATAAAACGAGCTTATACGTAGATGTTTATAGCTTTGTGTTAAGGTTCTACTTTTTTTTTTATCGTTTGTTATTTAGACCATAACTGTTTTTATAATGTATTCCATTCTTATTTTAAACATCGAATTTTTGTTTGCAGCGAAATTTTATAAAAAAGGAATGTTTTACAAAAGAACAACGCGAACGGTTGTACCTCATAATTTCACAGCACTGGAAATGCGTAGTTGCGAACACGCATTATCATTATGTTTTACTTATCTAAAGGAAAAGTACTATATTATAACGATAAACATATAAATACATAATACCCTCTGTTGTAAATTTAATACAAACAATAATTTATTGTTATTACTTTATTAATACCTCGACCTCTAATTGTTATGATTTTAAACACTCGTAACGATGTATTGATCTGTTACTCGTATATGATATTGTAGCAGTAGCGGTTCGTAAGTAAATATTCCACTTATTCTGGGGAGACTTGTAAAATTCTGTAACATTAATTTCATACAACAATTAACAAGAATAACCCTTTGATTGGAAAATTATTTATACTTAATACTTAATTAGCCAAATAATTGTATATACATGCGCATTTATACTGTTTAATGATATAATGATTTAATTTTTTTATAAACTAATTCAATTTTGTAATCTGCGATCATTTATAACCATAAATGAGGAGTTGGGCTGTTAAGTTTAAATTGATATTTTGTTCGTAAGTTTAAGTAGGACGAAATTGCCACTTTATTAGAAATCAAGCAGTGTTGTCCCAGAGTTTTTTTAGATATTGCCCAAGCCTTCGACAGGGTGTGACACGAAGGCTTCTTATACAAACTGAAGCTTTTTCTCTCGGCTGCCTATTATTTAATTCTAAAATCTTACCTCGCAAACCAATCATTTTTAGTACGCCACTCCAACTCATTCTGACACTAAACTGATAAAATCAGGAGTTCCTTAAGGTAGTTACCTCTCACCTATCTTATACAATATATTCACATCTGATATAGTGATATACCCACGTCGACCAACACCCTACTGGCTACCTTTGCAGATGACACTGTGATTCTAGCTCTGAAAAAGCGAACCCGGATATTTCGCCGCCAGACCGAACTTAGGAGTTCGGACCTCCTCCAAATTTTAAAAATATATTCATAATTCTAATATTTTTAATAGTCCGTTGATTATAGATATTTTATTGCATTTTTAAATTTATTAAAATGATAATCATGTTAGGTAATTAATGTATAGTATACCTAATTTGAGTTTTTTATTGAAATGGTGTGGTTTTAATAACAATAGGTGTGGGCCCTATCTATACTTTCTGAAAATTAATAAAAAACGTTGAAATAAAATGTATTTTATTAAATAATTTAGTATAATATATTATATTATACATATAATTAGGGCTAGGATTTATATGCAATAAAAAATTATAAAATATGCAAAAATAATATGCAAATTAATATTATAAACGCCAACAAATATGAAACATACTCTTGAAAAAATGTTCGCGTTTTTATAGTCGGAGTATGCAATGATATTAATTTTATTCAAAGTATGTAAGAATATGCAGTATAAAAACACCACTGTCTATTTCATTATAAGATGATTCGTGGACATGACTGACAAAAGCAATAATCAAAAGTTGCAAAAAAACATACTTTAGCGCAGTGGTCTTTAACCGGTGGGTCGCGACAAGTTTTTTTTTAAATAAAAATTAGATTTATAAAATTATATAAGGTAAAAAAATAATAATAATATTATTATATTATAATCATAATGGATATCAAGTATGTTTCATATTACACTGGTATGATTCTACATAAGAAATTTGTTCTTTTTTATCAGGCTTACGTGGATCGCAAAAAATAAAGGCCTAAAAGAGTGGGTCGTGAGTCCAAAAAGGTTGAAAACCACTGCTTAAGCGTATGTTCAGATATTCTACTAACGTAGCGCCAACTTCTACGTTCAGGTATTGCGATCATATATAATAATAGCGTGTAGTAACTATTTGTTTTAAGATGTAAGGACCAGAATAAAATCAGTCTTCATAAGTCAATTAATTACAAGCGCCACTGATTCTATGCACGTACAAAAACCTAAAATACCTATGGCCCATGACAAGATTTTTTGAAGGAAATTTGGGTCGCGGTACTAAAAAGATTGAGAACCGCTGGCCTATGTAATATAATATGCTTGTCGTTATAATATTATATATTACACGTCATAGGTATGGAAAGAAGCGTTTTTAAAAACACAATTATAATTCAGACCATATTATTACTAATACAGGTACTCTTAAAGCTTATACGTTATTGCTGAAGCTAGGATTTTGATGACATTTGCATTTTTTTTTTTTTCTGAACAACTCCCTCCACAAATCATTCATGTGCTTATTATGACAACATTTTTTTTGTAAACTATTACTTATTGTTTTAAATAACAGATTGTAAATACGTAGTAAATACATTTTAATTATAAAAAAAAAAAAAAAAGTTTTGAAATGTCGATAATAATAAATATCAGATAAGTATAAGTGTATAATAATAATTATTAAATAATGAATGTAATTAATTATGATAGCGTACAACGATAAACGACGGTTTATCGGCACGGCAAATATTATAATCGTGAACTCAGTTTCAATAGCGTTTTATTATAATATATATGCGGCTTATTCTCTTTGGCCACTAACGTACCAACCAGCTATATTATTACAATTTGTTATGATTGTAACCGTCGGGCGGCAGTTTCACTGTGACGGCGGCGACCGTTGTTGAAATTACTAAAATAATATTTTTATCGAAATAACTACAAGTCTATATTATATCATAGGTTTTAGATTTTGTGGCCTCCAATAATAATAAACAAATATAACGATTTAATATTCTTTCAATTCGAATGAACATATTAATTCTATACATTTTTAATTTTAATTAATAATTATTTGAGAGTAACTGTTTTTTTTTTTTATTATTATTATTATTGAGAGGAGACGCAGTCTCAAAGTCTCCATTGACGAGCCTCCTACATATTGTAGTGTATCAGTATTCAGTATGTCGTGTTTGTAATCTTTAATATTATAATAATATAATATAACAAGTACCTACACGAGTTGAGGGAATCCGGCCTGAATACTATGAATTATATTATATTTTATGAACCTAAAATAATATTATAATCCTTAGGTAATAATAATGGTACACGATTAACATTTTATAAGGTACATTGTCATCCGTTGGTTGGTTGTCAGTACACAGGGCACTGGCTACAATGTATAAAAAGACAGGTATTTTATGAAAGATAAAACCGAATGGAATTATAACGTGGAAGATTAATTCGGAAGGTGTTTAAAATGTCCAAAGCTTTAGTCTATACGTAAATCTCGCACTATGCTATACGGTCTATAGTCTATACGGTAGGGTAACATTGGCCTACGTTGGGACTTAGTACTGTGTCATGGTGTTAACACAAGCGACTATAAAACATGGGGAGTTGATAATACTATCTAATATCCACATTTTATAGCTATAGTTTAATCTTAATGGCAACCTAAAAACTAAATTGAACTTTTATAGCGTGGTCGTACGCCTATTTTACGGTTTGTTGTGAACCGAAGATTGATATTAACA